TTAATCTGCCCGGGCTGCAGAGGAAAACACACAGCCTGGGTGGCTTCAACCACAGACGAACTTTCTCAGTTCTTGAAACTAGCAATACAAGAGAACTTGATTTCTTGTGAAGGTTCTCTTTCTGGCTTGCTTGTAGATAGCCACCTCCTTGATATGTCTTCAAATGACCTTTGCTCAGTAAGTGAACTCACTCTGTGTCTTTTCATATAAGACCCCACTCCTAAGACCTCATTGAACTCTAATTACTTTCTTAGAGTCATTATCTCCAAGTATAACCACCTTGGGGATAGGGGTTTCAACATGTGAGTTTAGGCGGGACACAAATAATCCATTTATAGGAGTAAAGCAGTCTACTTCATTCGGTTTTCAATACCAGCAACATTACTTGGATTATACAGTTAAGGGAAATCATCTAGAAGATTTATCAGAAGTGAAGGTGACAATTTGATCCATATTTCAAATGCTCTATATGTTTATCTCATTTGGATTTGAGTTCAGGAGGTAGGAAAGGATAATAGTTACTGGGTTCTATAATATTGACAAGCATAATTAGATTGTATTGCAGTTGTAAACTTGAGAACCTTAGAGGCTAAACACAGCAAAATATAGTTTTCATTCTGGCAAACTCCATGGAGACCAGGAAGCTGTTCCTTGATTGTATCTCTTCCACATGGAACAGATGATCTTCAGGCTGGCACTGCATGGCAAAATGATCAGATGTAACAGTTTATGTGGTAGGGCCTAGAAAAGGCTTGCATCTCTAGCACAGCACATTCCATTGACCAGAATCAGTCACATGGTCCTGACCCAATTACAAAATATTGGGAAAATTATGTTTTTTCCCTAGGCCCTGGGGGAAAGTTTAATGAAAATATAGCATTGTATCAGCTATAGGTTCATAAATCCACAAAACTATTGTTCTGAATAAGCTTGTTTCTGGAATTCTAGCCAATCAAATGACAGTCATAACAATGAGTTTTAATTTTAATTTTATACACTTCTGTAGTTTAAAGTTCTTTAATAGGTGTGAATGTATTGTCCATCTCTGTACATTCTTGTACCTACTAAAACACTTGGTACTAAACATTCGTTGAGTGATTTTTTTTGTGAATGAGCATATGAATTAAACTCCATAGAAAGGCTTCTTCTTCTTTTTTATTTTTTAAATTGGAGTATAGCTGCTTTACAATGTTGTGTTAGTTTCTGTTCTACAACCAATTGAATCAGCTATTTGCATATATATATCATATTACCCACACTTCCCACAACTTGAGGTCACCACAGGGTGCCAAGCTGAGCTCCCCATGCTATACAGCAGCTTCCTACTAGCTATCGATTTTAGCCATAATAACATATATATGTCAATCACACCTCCCAACTCATCCTAACTCCTTCCCCACCTTATGTCCATAAGTTCAGTCTCAACATCTGCATCTCTATTCCTGCTCTGCAAATGGATAAAGAAGATGTGGTGCATACATTCAATGGAATATTTCTCAACCATAAAAATGAACGATATTTGGTCATTTGTAGAGGCATGGATGGACTTAGAGTATGTTATACAGATTGAAGTGAAATCAGAAAGAGGAAACCTTATTCTTTATATGTTTCATGGTAGGATACACTGTGGGTGGCTACAATGTCAACTCTAAGCATAATGGAAAACTATATACAATTGTATGGTGAAAGCATAAAAGATCTGAGAAATTATGTTTTGCGATTTATAAAAAAGAAAGGAAAGTGAAGTCACTCAGTCATGTCCGACTCTTTGCAACCCCATGGACTGTAGCCCACCAGGCTCCTCCATCCATGAGATTCAGTTTATAAATAAGTCAGTAAAAATTAAAATAAATGAGAAATGTGGAAGAAGAAGAAGTGAATGAAAAAGATAATACCTTGAGGTTTTTTGAAAGGAGAAGAGTAGAATTGATGCCTAGAAGAAGAAACATGATGGAACTTAAACAGAATTGAGTGGAGAAACTGGAAGAAATGTGATCTGTTAAAACAGGCAGAACCTGAGGAAACAGTGCAGTTTCTGTTCTTCATTTGAAAGGTAAGATGACTGTCCCAGAGAGGGGACATACACTTTTAGTGTCACATACAACTTTGTCCACAGCAGTTGAGTGAAAGAACACAGAATGAAGACTAGTGGTAAGGAGAATGGCTGGAATTCAGGCAGCAGAGAATAATCTCAGGTCAGAGCTTGAGGAGAGATGAGAGATTGAGTAGGAGGCCCAAGGTTGAGTGAAACAGCAATTTTATTATAGTCAGTTATTGGTGGGGAGAACTTCCAGTTGATAGAAGAAGGAAGTTAGAGTGGAGATACAATGGGGAGGTTTCCTGAGAACAGAGAGAGAGAAGCATTTGCAAATGGCATGCTCTTTCTGCACCTTGCTTTGCTAGCTTTTCTCCTCTCAGCCAGGGACAATGTAGATGGTAAGAATGTCTGTCTGTCATCAATCAAGTGGATGGATCTGGATTCTAAGGGTACCAGAGTGTTTACAATCTGAGCATTCCTGTCTCTAGATCCAGTTTACTCTTTCAAAGGAAGGTGGAGAGCTTGGGGCCCTGGGTCAGGAAAATGTCATCTTTAAGCTAATTGTAACTTTTCTCTCTCTCTTTTAACTGGTTGAATCTCCATCTTCTATCCTTTCTGTTTGCCTCACTTATCCTTAAACTACCTGACCATCTACCATCATAGGAGTCCAGGACTACATCTCATTCTATCTTATCCAGGTCTCATCCTTTGCCAACCATTCAGGGTCACAGAATCAGGGCTCTGGTTGACTGGATGAGTTGCAGACTAGCAACTGGGAGAGTGAAATAGGTGCAGTAATTTTTCTGTACCCCTGGTCAAAGGACAACTTCAGCAATGAGCAGATGATAGACCTGGAGCTGTTTTTCTGTGTCTTTTTGATTCGATTAATTTAGGAGATTCAAGATTATGCCAGTCAACTGAAATTTGAATGTAAGTTCAATCCATTCAATTGAGGGGTCTCTTCCTATAAAAAAACACTTTTCTGGACCATTTCTTTTCTATTCCACCATAAAAATCTTCATGTATAAATCTCTCAGGGGTTACTCTAGATGTTGACTATTCAAGATTTCCTACACTCTTGCTTCTTCCAGACTTCTGTTTCTCTTGTGCTTTTTTTATCTTTCTTCAGTGTTCTCCCTTCTATGGCTTAAAATCCAGAGGTATACAACTGGCCCACTCTGTGCCTGACTCCCTTACAATGTGATCTTTTCTCCCACTCAGTTTAAGTCTACGTCCATAGTCCAACAACCATGATTCATTTCATGCACCTAGGAATGTTGTACTCTCACCTTCCTCACATGAGTTCCTCTTCACCCTCCCGCAACTTATACCATGAACCTCACTTATCATTTACCCTCCAACTTATTCAAATCAAACCCTCAGTTCTTGGCATTTCTCCCTTATGCCCTTTTCCCAATTCCACCAATTCTCTTCCTTGTTCCTGACTGAATATTTCATTGACTCACCCTTATACACTTATAAAACCATCTCCACTTTTTAAAATACAGCCTCAGGTTCCCATGTAGTTCCTCTCATTTTCTTCATTGATCTCTCTTTCTTCTTCCTCCCTCTTCCCAGATCCCTTTGAACTACAGGTGAAAGTTGGCTGTGAGCTGCATTATAGGAAAACCACAAAAGGGTTTTTTCAGGCAGCTTATCAAGGATCAGAGTTCTTGAGTTTCCAAAACATATCATGGGTATTATATCCAGAGAGTAAGAGTGTCTGTGATCTAATCAATCAGTATGAAGGCATCAAGGAAACAGTGCATAAACTCATCAGCAACATCTGTCCCCAATTTCTCTTGGGTCTCCTCAATGCAGGGAAGATGTATTCCCAGAGGCAAGGTTGGTACAGCACCCTTTTCTAAGATCTTTCTATATAAGTCTTACATAGTCTTAAGTCTTATATAAAGTCTATATATAAGTCTTGCTCCTTTCCACCATTCCTTTCAAAATTAGGAAGGGGCAGTTTAAGAGGGATACAGGTTGCTGGGCAAAAGTTCCTAGAGGAACTTTAATATTAATGTGGATGTTTTGTCCCTAAACTGTCTGTTACAGTCCTCATATGAATATTTTTAATGCCTTTTCCAGTGACACCAGAGGCTTGACTGACCAGTAGCCCCATCCTTTGGTGAAGTCAGGTGTTGCTAGCTTGCCATGTCTCTGGCTTCTACCCAAAGACTGTTTTGGTGATGTGGATGCAGGGTGAACAGGAGCAGCCAGGAACTCAGCAGGGTGATGTTCTGCCCAACGTTGATTGGATCTTCACGTGATCATGCATGTGGATGCTAAGGAGGCAACTGATTTTTCTTGCCAGAACATCTTTCTCTGCTGGGGTAAGTAAGATGGAATTTTTAAGTGTGCAAAGGTGATTCTTGAGCCTAGAAGTCAGGGCAGAAGAAAGTTTCATGATGCCAGAACTAAGTGAGAGAGATATTAAGAAGGAATTAATAGAGGTGATTTCAGAAATGCAGAAATGGAATATGAGGGACACTCAGATATGAGATTTGTGGGGAGATGAAGAATCCTTCCCAAGCAAGTATCAAAATAAAGTGACTAAATAAGATAATTGATGGGACTTACGCCTAGTTTTGGAGAAGGAAATGGCAACCCACTTCAGTACTCTTGTCTGGAAAATCCCATGGATGGAGGAGCCTGGTAGGCCACAGTCCATGGGGTTGCAAAGAGTCGGACACGACTGAGTGATTTCACTTCACTCACTTCCTTCTTTATCCCTGGGGAAGGAGATGGCAACCCACTCCAGTAGTCTTGCCTGGAGAATCCCGTGGACAGAGGAGCCTGGCAGGCAGTGGTCCATTGGGTCGCAGAGAGTCAGACATGACTGAATTGACTAAGCACGCACACATGCCTGGTTCCTATGCTAAGGTTGGAAAATCAATAGATGGAGCAAAATTGGCAGTGGGTTTATTATAAAATCTAGGTGTCTCTCTAATATTCACAGGGCATCATCTTTCCATGAACTTGATATCATTGGCAGTGATAGTGCCCCTAATGGTTTTGATGATCCTTGCATTATGGGTTAGGAAGCACTGGTGAGTTTTTTATATTTCCTCCTCTCTTTCCAATTTCTTATTTTATATTCCATTTCATTTTTACTTCTCTTAGCTTTCTTCCCTTGACCTTTCCCCCTTCCTCAATCACTATTTCCATCTTATTTAGAATTTCTCCCCATTTCTCTTATTTCACAGTTCATATCAAGACATCCCATGAGATTCTTCACCATGCCTTACCAATCTGAATGGGAACCAAACAGCCCAGAAGCCTAGGTTGACATAGCGATGCCACTCTTTCTCTTCTCCATTTACTTATTTTTTCTGCTTCTACTTTATAATAATTTGTTAATGTATGCTAATTTAATTTCTGTAACTCTGCATGGAATACCTTCCTTGTAACCTCTATTTTCTTAATAGTACTCAACCTTCAAAGCCCATTTCTGATGCCATATCCTCCAGAATGCTTCCCTGATCTATAAGTAGGAAGGGGTCTCTCCCTGGTCTGAATTCAGATAGTACTTCAACTGTGCTCTGCTACAAGTATACAATCCTTCTTTCCCTGAATTACAGCTACTTAGGTCTTTGTACATCTTCTAATACTTCAGCTCCTTTGGGATAATGGTCATGACAAAGCTGACTTTCTTACATGCAAAGTGCTCAATGAAAATCAAACCAAAATAAACCTTACACAAGTTGGATTTGCGATCACATTGACAGACTTCTCATTATATTCATTCCTGACATTATTGTTGTTATTTGAAACTCTGATGGTCCCCTTCTTATTTAAATGCTTTTTCCCCCCTTTTTTAATGTGGGCAAGAAATTCCATACTTCTTTAGCTACCTCACTTTCTATCTGAACTCTTACAGAAAAAATATAACTTTGCCCTTTGTCACACTTATTTTCTACATACATTTAGTTGGCTCTTTCAAACATATTCTAAACACAAGGAGATAAAGAGTGCAGACCATGTATGAAGGGAAGTGGGCCAAATGTATCACTAAATGGTTAAGGTAAGAGCAAGAGGGATGAGGATAGGATCAAAGCAAAGGATGTATATGGAAGACAAGTCACCCAGAGAGTGGTTCTGAGATAACCTTGCCTAGATGTTGGTTCCTTTAAGTTTCACTCACTGCGTGAGTGTAAGTCACTGAGTCGCATTTAACTCTTTGTGACCCCACAGAATTTAGGCCTTTGTGGCCCACCAGGCTCCCCTGACCATGGGATTCTCCAGGCAAAAATACTGGAGTGGGTTGCCATTCCCTTCTCCAGGGGATCTTCCCAATCCAGGGATTTAATCTAGGTCTCCTGCATTGCAGACAGATTCTTTACCATCTGAGCCACCAGGGAAGATTTCATTCACTAATCAAGTAATATTTGTTAAGCCCTGAATATGAGACAATCATTCAACTTATAAACTGGTGGGGGAGGAAACAACCAAGGTTATTCCTACTTTCTTGAAGTTACAAAGTTTACTTTCTTAACTTGTATCCTTTTTACTGGTCACATTTTTTTTTTCTGCCTCATTTTAAAAATTGAATTAATTTAATGGATGGATAATTTATATACAATAAAATACATCTATTTTAGATGTACATGCCCATTATTTTGAAAAATATATAAACCTATGTAAACATGATCACAATCAAGATATGAAACATTTCCATTACCCCAATACTCCTCAAACCTATTTGCACTTAAACCATTACCCACTATGTATTATTGCAGCTACTGCCATGTCTTATGCTAGTTGTTTAGATTTGTCCTTTCTGTAATTTTATTAAAATGGAACAAACTGCATATGCTCTTTGTAGCTGTCATTTTTTCCCACCTAGCTTATGGTTGTGTCATCTATGTTGCTTATCAGTGCACTAGTAGTCTATCCTTTTTTATTGTTCAATATCCTCAATAGAATTCCATGTATGAATATGATATTCATACATGAAATTGTATATGTGTGTGTGTGTGTGTGTGTGTGTGTGTGTGTGTGTGTTATCCATCCACTGTTTGACTATTGGTTTGCTTCTAGTTTGAGGTTCTTTTAATAAAGTCACCATTATTGTTTCTATTTGATTCGTGTTATTGTTTGTTTCTTTATTTACATACTTGGGCTAATTCTGTCAATTTTGGCTGCCTTGCAGTTTGTAGCCACTGATGTCTCCTTAAAGAAAATAGATCTCATTGCAAGTGAAATATTACTCAGAAATAAAAAGGAAAGAATTTGAGTCAGTCGTAATGAGGTGGATGAACCTAGAGCCTGTTAAAAGAGTGAAGTAAGTCAGAAAGAGTAAAACAAACATAGCAAGTTAATGCATGCATATGGAATCTAGAAAAATGGTGGAATCTAGAAAAATGGTGCAGATGAACCCATTTGCAGGGAGGAAAGGAATAGAGATGTAGATGTAGAAAACAGACATGTGGACACAGCAGGGCGGGGGGGTGGGGGCAAGGGGAGAGTAGCATTAACATATAGACACTACCATAAGGAAAATATATATCTACTGGGAGCTGCTGTGTAACACAGGGAGTCAAGCCTGGTGCTCTGTGATAACCTCGTTGGGGGGAGTGGGAGGGGAGAGGGGCTCAAGAGGGAGGGAGTCATGTGCGATTACGGCTGATTCGCGTTGCTGTACAGCGGAAACTAACACAACGTATAAAGCAGTTGTGTTCTGTGCGCTTAGTCACTCAGCCATACCCAACTCTTCGCGACTCCGTGGACTGTAGCCCGCCAGGCTCCTCTGTCCATGGGGATTTTCTAGGCAAGAATACTGGAGTGGGTTGCCATGCCCTTCTCCAGGGGATCTTCCCAACCCAGGGATCGAACACAGGTCTCCCGCATTGCAAGCAGATTCTTCACTCTCCGAGCCACCAATTATCCTCCGATTAAAAGATAAATTTAAAAATAGATCTCTTTTCTTCCCTTCTTCCCCCCTCCTCCCTCTCTTCCTCCTACGTTCCCTCCATTTCTCTCCTCTCCTCCTTACCCTCCTGTCTTTCTTTCATTTTTCTTTCTTTTTCCTGGTTTCCTAGGAGTCACTTCTATATCAGTATAGCTCATTAGTAAACAGTGATTAGTCAGCAGTTGTGCTTTTAACTTTAACCAGTAACACTTTCACCTTTTGCTGAGGGGATGTTTGTGGACTTTCAGCCCACATTTACTATTTAACGCATTTACTACTCCAGCAGTTTGCAAATCTGCCGTGGTTTCTACTTTTCCTTTGTGCCGGGTGTCACGTTTGGCCAGGGAAAAGCAGTTAACTGTGGTCCTCTTTGGTCGCTCCTTAGTGCAGTTTCCAAACCTCCCATTTCCCAGGTGTCTATTAAATGTTGATTGGGATCTTCTTTGCTTCAGCCAGCATTGCAGCCTCAGGCAGCTGTAATATTGACCTTTGATTTTTGCCACCAACGTTGCTGTTCTCTACATCCTCTCTGGGCATGGGCCTCTCTATAGAGAGCTGAATCAGGTGTGTCCTTATGGTGACAGCAAGACTGCTGATTCTCAACCTATGGCATCACCAAATCAAGCAAAGGAAGGGAACAGCCCCATGTTATATTGCCCTCATTATTTCTGCTGAGGTTCAGGTAGTTCTAGAATAAGCACTTCTCAATCTGTTGTATGCTTTTGGTCATTTCCCAGAATTTTGAAGTGGATGATTTTGAAAATTGTGTCCAGTATTATCATCAATATTTTGAAAAAGACTTTCTTGAGCTCCTTACTCTGACATTCAGGATGCTTTGCTCCATGTAGACATTTTGCAGTATTATAAATATATCAAACAGGAGTTTCAGTTTCTAAAAATTGAGAGCAAATGGCAGCAAGGAACATAATCACTTATTAAGCTGATAACATACCACAAGTTAAGTACTGTTTCAAGCTGCTCTAAAGTTCAATTTTTTTATCCCCAAGATATATAACCTAAGGTCAGAAAACAAATCTTACATTGTCTTCGATAATCATATTGTTGGAGGTATTTTTGCTGTTGTTGTTATTCTAAGACTATCATGTGTGTATAGGCTACTGAGATATACTATATAATGGGACAAGTGGATAGTATATAGTGTACAGTAGGATTAGGTGAGTACACAATTGCATTGATTCACTGGGAACCAGGATTTTCTGTGTAGGAGAAGGCAAGTTGATGTGAGATAGATGAGTAAACCTCTGTAGCTCTAAACTTGAAGGTATAGATATAAACTCATTAATAGGAAGAAAAAAACATTCTGACCACTTAAATAACCTAGAAACAAAGGCAAGGTTGTGGCTTCCATATAATACTTTCCCACCAAAAGGAACCAAAGTACTTTGGAGAAACAGATAATTTCTAGTTCAGAGCAGGAAGGGTCTGTAACAATTTTGTCTGTAAGGGTCTGTAACAATTTTGTCATGCCAGAAGGTTAAGTGGAAGCTCAGTGATAAATGTATGTTGAAAGGATTCATACACAACTGACTTGAAAATGATCCCATTTTTAAGTCTCAAGAGAAATAATGGCTAGGACAAATTCAAACATTTCCAACATGCTGAAATTCATGAATTTTCAATAATGCAAAAACTAACCCATTGGTCACCCAGGAACCTATATAAACAATGTATTCTCTTGTACATTGGTAAATACACGGTAAGAATCAAGTACTTATTCTGCCTTTGGTTATCTCAGGGTAATGAGATACTTATTTAGGAGAATGTATCTTTTTAGAAAATTCTAATTTAGAAAGAAGGTATGTTACCCTTACATACTGCTTTAAGAAGTACTAGATATAGGTGAGTTGTTTTCAGAGTGTATTTTTGGATATCTGCAGATTTCTGACACCCATTCAGAGAATCCATGGGTTAAAAGCTATTCTTATAACAATACCAAAATATTATTTTAGTGTTCATTGCTTTCAAGACACTATCTGACATATAATATTGCATTAGATTATATTTGGAAGCAGATATGAAAATACAGATGCCTACTATTAAGTCAGAGGAATTGCAAAAATATTTTAAAAGCTTCAAGGCTACAAAGCCCCTATTATCATTGTAGTTTTTGAACTTTAA